ACAAGCAGGAGGAACTTGAATGTCATTTAAACCGTGAAAAGATTTTGTTGTTGTTTAAAAACATTGCTTGAGACTACAAGCGAACTATTCAACTTGCCGTAGCAGTCATTTTCAGGTGGATTTTGATCGCCAGTTTTAATTTTTCCACAACTGCCATTTTTCTACAAAAATAATTTGCAACTAAAATGGAAATAATTTTGGTTTTCTTTGAAAAGTTGACGGAAAACATTATGTCATTATAACTCCATTTTCTTTTATGGATCTCAGTCAATAATTTTGGACAAAATCGTTTTTGTTCATTTGTTCACCAAATCATTATTTAGTGCAAATCTCTCAGTAGTTGCTATTGAATGATACTAATTAGCTGTTTTGTCAAATGTGAGGCATATCTTACATAATGATAATATGGAAAACCATGTTGAAAAGCATGACCTCTCCATCTATTATTTGCTTTCTGATGAGGTATGTGGAAGTTCTCGTAACATGCATAAAAGAGAAAACTCAAGCTCTGTGGGAAGTTCACTAATTAGTAATTGATTTAATGGCTATTATGTGCTGGCAGTTCAAAGTAGGGTAGGAAACCAAACAGAGGTTGTGGTGAAGCGCACATTCTAGTTTGGGAAGACAGGCAATAAATGAGCAAGTCAGTTTCAGACGGTGGGAAGGGCTGTGGGGAAAAATGGAAGAATCCAATGGCGTAGACTGCCTGGGCTCCTCTAGTCAGGTGGTTGGGGAAGCCTCTCTGTGTCTGAGGTGCTCGAACTAAAACCTTGAAAATAACAAGGAGCCAGTCTTGCATATTTGGGTGGGGAGGGAGGTAGGCTTAATTCTCAGTTATAATAGGAAGCCATGAGGAGGTTTTCCTTTGGAGCATGATGGGTGAGGTCATTCATTCAAAAAGGAGTTGAGGTTGAGGATGCAAAGTAGTACATTCTTCACTGTGATGATGGTATTGGGGTTGGAAGCAAAAGGAATATTCATGTCCGTAACTCCCTGTGTATTTATGCCCAAAATGTGCTATCTGTCTTATGCAGCTTGAATCATTACATATGCAGCATATCTACCTTCAAAGGGCCTTTAGTATAAATAAAAATATTAAGTGGTTGTATAAATATTGTCCTCTCAGTACAATGTAAGCAGCTTAGTCCACGGGAAAGTTTGTTATGTGAAGCATATATTTTTAAATTGTATATTGTGTGCATTCAGTAAATGTTTGTTGAATTAATTACATTGAGTCTTCTATAATGGCAGGAAAAAATCATTTTAGCGTGTAAAATCACATTTAAGATACAGTATTTTTATGAAAAGACCGAATAATTTCTTTGAAAAAGTTTAGATAAAATGTTAACTGTACTCTAAATATTAATAATATTTTAAAATTATATTCAAAGTGTTAAAATATTGAAAATTAAAATATACAGCTATAATTATTTTTACTTTTTCCCCGGTCCCTACACCCTCAACACAGGAAGAACTCTCTGGAAAATCCACATGTTAGATAAAGGTTTCATTATCATCAGTTAGTTTTATCACACCTTACTTGGCACATGTGGAAATTCCTTACTTATTTTGTGAGTCTCCCAATCCTTGAACTAACTTCTATTCAGAACTCTTCTGCCAACATCTGCGTGGTTAGAGTGAGGTTGAGAGTTTTGAAATAAGATAATACGTAAGTCTCCTTGAGTATGAGTTTAGGGAAAGGGGATGGTAGTGAGTGATATCGTGGATTCATTCACAAGAGCTTTATATTCAGAATTTGGTTAAGTGATTGCTAAGAGACATTACAAAAGGAAGACAAAGATGAAAAAAGACAGCATACTCCTTTCGTCTCCAGGTAACAAGGCCACCTGTGTCCCCATTCTCATTTCTACAGATATTACACTGCGGATTCCCAGCTTTCCTGCCCCAACTACCAGAGGCTCATTGTCCATTTGGCACGTCCTGGGGCACTCAGTCACCCCCTCTGCCGTGCCATGAACCCAGCCCTTCTTCAGCCTCCTGGAAGGAGTCAGGGATGGGGGGCCACCTCTTGGCTCTCCTGCCTTGTGGCCCAGGGACCTAAGCTCCACCTCCCAGCCTTCTCCCTGGCCATCATTTACTCCTGCAGCTTTAGATTGGAAGATTCTCAATCCTGCTTCCTTTTTGATTTCTTGTAGAGCATCACTCATTCATTCATTCCACAAATATTTTCTGAGTACCTACTATGTACTATTTTAGGCACTGCATATACGTGTATATCAGGAAACAAAACAAAGTTTCTCTCCTTATGATCTCTACATTCCAGTTGGAGGAGACAGACAATACACATATTAATTTGTTGTGACAAACAATAAGAAAAATGAAGCAGGACTCAGGGACCCAGAGCAACTGGGATGGGAACTAGTGGGGCATAGTCACAGAAGCCCCTCTGATAAGGTCTGACATTGCACAGAGACCTGAATGGAGGGAGGGAAGGAATCATTTGCATGTCTGGGGAGGAGAGTACCGTGCAGCAGGAATGGAAAGTGCAGAGGCCTAGAGGAGGCAGCTGGTGAGGTAGGAGATTGCTTGGAATGTTTGAATAGCAAAGGGCCAATGTGATTAAAATAAAGCAGGCGCACCTAGAGAACTTTGGACTTTATTCTGAGGAACTGGGGAAGTGGCTGCACGAATCCTAGCCTACAGGGGAAGCTTTGCTGGGCCTCATCCTCAAGGTCATTACTAGTCTCAGGAGGAAACAGGAAATGAGTGGAGGCCTGTGTGTCTGTATTCAGCACCTGCTTTATGAGCCTGAACTCTAATTCAAGGTTCTCAGAAGCCAAGTAATAAAAAAAAAAAAAGTGACCTTGATAAAGACCTTCAAGTAAGCATAGCCCAGAGAACTCCAAAGCCAATGGAAGTTGTTTTACTTTGGGTGTGAACAAAATTTTATTGTGATTTTGAAACAGTGTGCATTCACAGAGACCTGAAAGGAGACTTTTTCCTACAACAGAGAGATATGAGGCCCAAGAGGCAGTTCACTTTTTCTAAAGTCCATTTACGGAATACTAGGTGCAGATACCGGATTAAGATCAGGCTTTTCACCACCTGCTCTGGGTCCTTGAATAATGGAGGCGACACACATCTGTTAAGGAAAAGAAAACTTGGAAAATTTGAGCTGAAATTAGCTACCTAATAAGAACCAGGGATACCAGGGTCAAAGACCTGGAGCATTTCCAGAAAACCTCCTTAAACATCAGCATCCTTTTGGTCAGAAGATCCTCCGGGAGCACATCCTATGATGCAGGCCCTGGGTGTGTGTGACGCTGGAGGAAAAGCCGTGGATGGGTGGGAGAGGGAGCTTATACTCTGGTAGTGGGGGCGAAAAACAATTACATCATGAGTAATGAGTGTACTTAGTGCCACCAAGACATGCAGGTTGCTAAGAGAGATGGTTGTGAGTCATAGGGTTAGTGAGTGCTTCCCCAGGAAACGTAAGATGAGACCAGACACCAGAGGAGCTTGTCTGGAGAAGATGCGTGCCAGAAAGAAAAATCCATGCAGGGACGTTGAGGAAGGAAAGGGTTTGGGTTTTTTTCTGAGGAACAGAAAGAAAGCCCTGTTATTAGATCATAGTGAGCAGGGCAGAGAGGGTAGGAGGCAAGGTTATAAGCTGGGCAAAGGCCCACCATGTAGTGCTGTGAGGGAAATGGGAACGGTCTGTTACTTGATTCAAAATGCAGGCTTTGAAGAAAGCAGGAGGTCCGTGAACTGACCTACATTTACATACCACGGGGGCAGTTTCATGGTGAAGAAGTTGAAGGAGACAAGAACGCATGCAGGAAGAGAAAACAGGGCTTTAGCTTGGGTGGCCGCACTGAACATGGAGGGAAGAGACAGAGCGATGGGGTTTGTAAAGCCCCCTCAGCAGACGTTGGTAACTGATAGCACAGGGGGAATGGTGGTCCAGGACATGCCAAGATTTTAGCATGAGCAAGTAGATGGATGGTGGAAACTATACCTCAGTTCAGTTCATGAGTTCAGTTTCGGACATGTTACATCAGAGATGCCTGCGAGACATCCCAAGGGAAAGAGCAAGTAGACATTTGGACAGATGGGTCTGGAGCTCAGATGGAAAATTTAGAATGGAGACATAAATTTGAGAGTCATTAGCATGTAGTTGGTAATAAAGCTGGGGAGAGAACAGGGATTGAGCAAAGAAGGTGACTTAGGAGCATACTTTGGGGTTTTCCATATTTATGGGTGGTTAGAGAAGCTTGTGGAGACACAGCTGCCCTGAAGGTGGGAGAAGAACGAGGTGGGATGTCATTCATGAAAGGTGTGCATGACATTAGTAATAAAGCTTGGCACAAGCTCCTTAATGAGCCCTTTCTGAAGATTTGGGTTCTGTCTCTTTCTCCAATTTAATCCATCTGTGAAACCCTGATGTAGCGTAGCCTTCAGACTTCTGGTGAAATGAGATTAGAAAAATTTTTTTTTAATTTCATGTCATAGTTGTTGATACTGCACGAGGACAAAATAGATATATGAGTCATGCCTTCACACACAAAAAATAACGAAAGAGTAACATGTGAAGGCCAGTTTCATCATGCTGATTACTAAACTATCCATTCTTACTGTCAATTTTATTGTTGCCTTCCAATTTAGTAGGTCTTCATATATTTTAAAGCATTCAAATATACTTTTTTAAAAATTGAGACATAATTGATATATAATATTATATTATTTGGTGTACAACATGATGATTTCATATATTATGTACATATTGTAAAATGACTGCCATAATAAATCTAATATTCATCACCACACATAGTTCTACTTTTAAGATCTACTTTTTTATCACCTTACAAATACACAGGATAGTATTGTTAACTGTAGTCACCATGCTGTATGTCACATCCCCAGGACTTATTTGACTTACAAATTTATTTTAAAGCATTACTAGGTCATATATCATAAAGCATTACTAGGTCAGATATCATAAAAACACTGTGACAGATGTTTTTAAAACCACAAATAGAATCGCTTCTTGGCCTTTTGGCTAAGATCAAATGTAGTATCTGTTCTTATCGGTTTAAAACCACAAACAGAGTTTTAAGCTATTTACTTTTCCTGGACACATGAAGGAAAGAATATAATTTAAAAGGGAAGTGCTTGAACAGCGATCAGAAGACTCAAAGGATTACCCTGGCTCTGATTATAAAATGCATTTTAGCTCATTAAAAACAAAGAGAAAAAACACTTGTTATTGAAGGTTGTCTGTGATGGTAGACCCTGAGGGAGAAGCACATTTTTGTTTTTATTTTCCTACAGAGAGAGACCCACTGGAGAGCTGCTGGTAGTACATGAAACTAATGTGCAAAAATAGATTATCATCCTTATGTGAAGTATTGTCAAATTAGAGGTGATTAACTACATTTACGTTACATTTTCCATAATCTTATGGTTTAGCCTTTTAATTTTTACAGTTTTTATTATATTAAATCATTAAGATTCAGAGGTAACTTTATTTTTCAAATGAAGTTATCGGAGCACTTAATAGTGCTTATTGGTCCATAGTACTTCCTTAAGTTATGGTCGAAACGTGTAGAATAAAGACTCTCCTGGACTTTTCAGCCCTTTGGGAGTCAGCACCGTGCTCACCAGAGCCTGCTGCCATCTGGCTGTCTAGCTAAGTGGCTCTTCAAAGATATTTTAAAACACATACAGTCAACTTTTGATTCTCTGGGCTATTTATGATTTAAGTGAGATTTTGTTTGACAAAGAGTCCCATTACCAGAGATAATTTGAAAATGACGGGAGAATTTGTGCTTTACGACCTAAGAGCTATATGACTTTGGTCACGTTACTTACCCTTGCTGGGCTCACTCATCCTTAGCGTGGAACGACGTGACCTCCTTAGAAGGGTTCTTGAGGGTTATGGAGGGTCACGCAGGTGAAGGATCCAGCACAGTGTGTGGCGCGAAGTGGATACTGCCCTCTGCGCCTGAACTCTGTGTGAAACAGCTGTTGTCTCTGCCGGTCACCTAAGCTGAAATCCTTGCTCGGGGAAGCCACTTTCCATTTTTCTAGATCCACCTCCACTATACCTCTTCTGCCTAGTTTTCCCCTGCCTCTCCTGGGAAAGTTGGCTGTACCTTCCGGCACTTTTGAGGTGTTTTGCTAACAGTTAAGTCCGATGCACTGAGAGTGATTTGTCTAGCTTCTGTCTCAATCTGATACTGGGGTATAAGAAGTAAACGTGGACCGAACGTCTCCCTCGGGACAACAAAAAGAGTTGAATAGAGGTTGGAAGGAGGGCTTTCTGTTGTTTTCCGTTAGGCGGTGTCACCACTGGCAGTGTTACAAGAACGGAGCCCACGCTGGCTCTGTGATGTGGCCTTAAGCACTTGCCTTTGGGAGACCAGCGGACGGGCGTCTGGAGAAAGGCTGCAGCCCTCCAAGAGGTAAGCCTTCTCCACCCTACTCCCCGGAACAGTTCCTCCCCATCTTCTTGGGGAAGGGGCAGGACAGTGACGCTCAGCAGGAACCTGTCTGCTAATAAGCCTGCCAAGTTTCTATTACTACATTTCTTTTGTTGAGTCATTCTTCTGCGGCCAGGCTCCTCAAGGCACCTGCTCTGACCCCTCGTGACTCCAGGCTGGAAGCAAACCCTCTCACCTGATGAATTGTGTGATCTCCTTTTGGTTAGGCATGGTGTTCTGCTGTGTTCATGACTCCTGTCAGTGGTTATTGAATTGTTGAATTAAACTGAATTGGGGCATCAGCTCTGAAGGGTAGCATTGGGTACAATAGTGTCACCTTGATTGAGATGTTGGTCTTATCAAGCAAGGATCTTAACTAGTTCGGAGGAAGAGCCATCCTGAACAGAATGAGGCAGCCAAGTCGGGCATGCAAGCGCTCCAAAGCACAGCCAGATGGGGAGGATTAAATGACAATAGATAATTCAGTTCTTTTTTTGGCCTTATTCATTTTGATGTTTTGTAACATCCATGAAGCCATTCTAATAAAATTTAAAGTTGAACACTTGAATGCATGGGGGTGGCAAATACTCAGGTTCCCATAACTCATAACTCAGCCCTGTCTCTAGATATTGCTTTCTAGTCTCTCTGAAAATGCTGATCAATAAATTATGAGCTGCTTGCCCAAAAACAGTGTCCTTGCTTTTAAAAAGTTTTTAGTGTTTTAATAAATCACACTTATTGGTATAGAGATAAAAATGAATATCAAAAAGTGGTGAATATTGTCTTCAGAATGAGTACAAGGATTTTTTTCTTTTTACATTTTTTATGATTAATTCTGACAATTATTAAAATTTTGAAGGCCAGTGGACCCAGATAATAATTTACTTAAATAATACGAACAAAATTGCTTTCTTAAGTACTTTCTCAAAGTTATAAGTTGGTTTTATCAGTATTTCATATAAAATAAATTTCCCCTTTACGAATACCTTTCCCCTTTTTTAGTTTGTTATAAATTAAGGTCATGTTACTGAAGTTTTTATAAGCATACCTTTCTAAAGGATACATAATGTTCTGTTACCTATGTTTTTAAATTACAGTTTTGAATTAATAAAAAGGGGAATATTAATTCTTGTGATGTTTAGAACCTTTTCCTTGATTCAGGAAAGAAAAGCATGTTTTTCAAACGTATTGTTGGATATTTCAGCTTTTTCTGTCAATTTGAAGTGATGATCAAATCACATTGCAGTTAAAGTTGTCAATGGGCAGATAATTCTCCTGTAGAGTTTTCTGACAGATTCTTTTCTTCTTTTTAGGAATTTCATGGTATCAGACAGTTTGGGATTCTTTTTCTTTTTCTTCGAATATTAAAAAAGTTTACATTTGGAATATATTTATTTACTACCTCTTTGCAAAAGGATTTCTCTCTAGCACAGTGGCAGAGAGAAACACAAGAAGATCATTCTGCTGTGTTTTAATACAATTTTTTGGATATAAATGGAAGGAAATAGGAAAAAGTGTTTATCTAGAAAGGTAACACTTTCTTGGTTAACATTATGCCGCCTGCATGTACCATACTTTTGGAGCATTACTAATTGTGGAGATTACATAACAACGCTGTACATGTCTTACACCGGGGAACCACTGCAAGGCCTGGGTGGGCCAGGGCTCCTGCCTGGGATTGTGTACCTGGAGGTGAGTGAGTGACAAGGAGGGATGACATCAGGGTTCTGGGGGCCTGATTGTCACCTGGAAGGTGGCTTTTCATGATCATTTTCCTCCTGTACTTCCAGTGATCGAACAGAGTTCCTTTAAATTCTAAAGAGTTCATTGTCTGGGATTTGTCAGATCATTTTTGTTGTTGTTCTTGTTAACCTTATTATATAAGGCAGTTGCCTTATTTTGCCAAATCAAAGCTCTTCCAATAAACACTTTCAATACACAATAAAGATAAGTCGCTACACTGGTAAAACATTCACTGTAAAAGTAAGTTCATAGATCATTTTGTAGAGGAGGCTGTTTAACAAGATTGTTCATCCAGACACTCCAGAGAAAATACCCTTTTGAGAGGCCATTGTCTAAAGAAAAAATTAATTTCTTTGCAGTTCTGTAATTTTATAATGACATCATATTCTGCTTGGAGTAAAAAGAGGTTTATAACCTTTAACCAGCCATCTTTCATACCCTTTACCATTTTCAAAACCTTTTCTAAGAGTCTGAGCATGAACCAACTCATAAAGCTGTGTTAATCTCACATTATTATAAATAAACCACAGGAAGAATTTTCAAAGTAGTTTTTAGAGATGACCTTTTTTTGCCCTTTGACCATATCTTGAAAAGCAAATGAACACGTATCCTTTAGTTGAGGCAGAAACTCCCCTTTTTCTGAAATCATCTTGATATTTTAGGGAAAATGTTTTACACATTTCTGAGGGGAGGGCTCTTAAACTTGAGCTATCTAGAATTTTCCTATGTTTTTTATTTCACTTGCGTGTATGTATCTGGGTTTATACAACAACTGACATGCAGTCGTCGCTAAAAATATCTAAAGTATTAAAGGAGCTTTTTGGTTTCCGTTCCTTGAGGTAATCCCAGCTCCATCTCTGAAAGGTAAATGACCTCTAACAAAGTGAGACAGGAGCTCAAACAGGGACAGGCCCTGTTCTCTGAACGGAGTGGAAGGGTAAGCCAACATTCTTATGACAGCATTTGCATGTTTGGAAATCACTGCTGAAGGGGCAGCAGCTGCTTGTGCATGGGGCAGAGCTGGAAGCTGCTTTGGATTGAGATTCTGCCTGTCAGAGCAAGTGAGGGTTGCCCTAATGGCGTGCCTTTGACTGTCTGCTTTTAGAGTTCCTAAAGGAAACTGTGTTATTGTCAGCCATAAAGACTGGCTCGTGGGAATCGAGCATCTTTTCAGACCAATAGCGAGGATCTGAGAAGTTTAGAGAAGACTTTCTAAGTTCTTCATCTTAGATGTCATTTCAGCCTTCTCTCCCCCAGCGGATGCAGCATTGCCCAATCTCTGTCCCTTCAAACATTAAGGAAAACATCTGTGTTTAAAAGCTACTCTAGGTGATTAACACTGAAATACTTTTTCATACACATACACACACACACGCATGCAGGAAAAACAAAGGAAAAAAAACCCAGTCAAAATATAATCTCAACAGATAGGACCTTGGAACATTATCTAATATAGCAAATTTGCTTTGCCTTACAATACTGTTATTTTAACACTGTGTTACAAGGCAGTATTTTTGTTTCTTCATCCGCAGCTCGGAAAGCCAGGTCCTTCTGATACACGACCCTGCAGGTCTCCCAGGCCTTCCCTCACAGGGAGCCTATTTCTAAACCTTTCCGTTACTGCGGAGGCGGGCACAGAGCTTCTTCATCAATAACCCTTTAATGCTATTAAAGTGAGTGGGTGGAAGAGGGCTTTTTCTGTAATTATCAATTCTAAGAGGAATTGACCTTTAAGACTCTTTCTAGCTCTATTATTTCATGGCCGAATGTCTTTCATGGAGGTGGGTAGTGCAAGACACCGAAATGCTTGACAAGAAAGAATGAGGGATCACCTGTCTGTAAGTGTTCCTCAGCCCTCTTGTGTTTAAAATAAAAAATGATATTAACAACATTAGAGATCTTTGTAAAAATTCCCATAAATTCCTTTGTAACAGAACAAATGTCTTTGTTTAGATAGGATTTTTAAAAAGCTAGGCAACCCTGGATCATGTGCACCTGACCACCTGATTTCCT